GGTGTCATCCTTAGAGCACGCCAGTGTGTGGCATAAATAATGGCTAAAAGAAATATTTTCAGCTATAATCTCATAAATAATAACTACAAGTTATGCCACCAAATGTTGTTGTCAATTACTGTAGTTTTAAATCCCTACACTTTATTTAGCGAACCCTGTATAATGACACTGCTTGTCAAGACGTTCAAGACACGCTGACGTTACTAGTAGCAACGTACAATGTGACTGGTTTACGTACTGCACTCATCACTCTGGCGTATTCACCAATAGGTAAACAAGACAGTATAACTTTATCGAAATGTTTCCAATACTGCACTAAACAGAAACTTAATGCTAACTATACATATTTATTATAGGATTTCTATGACTGTAACTCGATTGCGCCAGTCTTTACACAAACAGAACACTTCCAAAGTATAAAAATAATCAAAGGGAAAGTATAATGAAATTTTTGTTTGTTTTAATGAGCCAGCTTTTGTTTGTTTGTTTGTTTTGAATTTCGCGCAAAGCTACACGAGGGCTATCTGCGCTAGCCGTCCCTAATTTAGCAGTGTAAGACTAGAGGGAAGGCAGCTAGTCATCACCACCCACCGCCAACTCTTGGGCTACTCTTTTACCAACGAATAGTGGGATTGACCGTCACATTATAACGCCCACACGGCTGAAAGGGCGAGCATGTTTGGTGGGATGAGGATGCGAACCCGCGACCCGCAGATTGCGAGTCGAGCGTCCTAACCACCTGGCCATGCCGGGCCATGAGCCAGCCAAACTCAGTGTCGGAGTTATTTAGTCAGACAGTGAATACATAAGGCTACAATCTCTGGTTAACTAAAAAGGAAAGACTGTTTATAAGGACCGACTAAAAATAAGGCCTGCAATTTTTTCTTCCTTTTAAATAAACTGGCAAAGCTTGGGATGTGTACAAGTTATGTTTTAAAATAAATATAATTTATTACGTATGTTCACTAAACAACAAATGGAAAATGGTACTGAAAACATAAGCCTCAGAGTATAGCAGTCATGAGCCAATACACGTAACTCAAATACGCGAACATATAAAAAATGCACGTGACATCACTTTCTGGTAACCTCTTTGTAAAAGACAGTTAGCATCTAACGATAAGCCAATTTATTGCACTTGCTTTGAGCCAATCACGGTGAGTAAACAGTTCAGTATAATATTCCACACAGCAACTCCTGGAAACGACATACATACATATATATATCCAAGCTACGTTGAAACTTGTAAGGTAAGTACTGAATGTGTAACGAATACGCCCACATATATAGGAACGCAAATAGCTCGCGCAGGCAGACGTAATACCAGTGTTATTGCACAACCAGAGTTCTTACTCGCGAAATTTTCCACTGAATAAACGTCATTTCATTTAATAAAATTCTGATTAGGTAATCCAATAGGTATTATATATACATGCCACTTTTATTCCTTGTTTCATATTTTCTTTCAGTGTATTTTTATTATCTTATCATTTTATTATTTCATAATCTAGTTATCTACTAAGTTTCATGAAAACCTTAACAAAGAATCCCTGAGTCAATGAAAACATGTACGGTACTTCACTTCCGGGAGTCATACATCCGGTATTTCTTCAACTTTTATTAAATATGCACTATCGTATGAGGAATCCAGATGTGTTACTTAACCCTAAAACTGAAAAGGACTGGAAGAGATACGATGATTTTCCTTGCTGATAGATGGAGAAAATAGTTTAAGTAAACATTGCGTGAGGTCTTAGTGCTATAGGAATATAATATCTATAGAGATTCTTGTCTGGCCTATAATCATCGGGAACTGTGCGGACAACAAACAGGTTTTCTGTCAATATCTGAGGACAGATGTCAGAAACATCAGAATCAAAGCTTACTTGACGTGCTACCAGTGCAGCAGATATGGATGACAGGAAACCAATTGCAGAAAAAGCAGGCCACAGAAGAATTTACATTGGTGCTAATAAACATGACAAAAGGATAAAAGAAGCAAAAGCCTGCCTCCTTTAGTAAGTTTGTGATGCCATTGGCAGACTATTCTAGCTATCTAGCTTCTTGTAAGTAAGCAATAACTAGCGCCGCCATATCTATCCTCTCAAATTTAACCTACTGACATATGTTCGTTGAAACTTCTTTTTTAAGAGTGCTCGAGTTATAGGGTTTCGTGTTTTTGTTTTAATTCATTTTTTGAACCAATGTTCTTTTCTAACGCTATGAACGACTGCGGAATGATACCTTAGAAAGTCTCTAAAGTGGAGAAACCCTTACAAAGTAATGAGCCAAGAGAAATTTACTGCAAAGTATAACCAGTTTAACTGTTTACAGAGAGATGAATGAACTGACGAATTAGAAGATTATAATGGGAAAAAAATGAGCTGCAGGATGTTGATGATGATGAAGAAAAGGCTGCAGATTGTAGAGGAAGAAGAAGTTACGATTTACGGTGCAGAACAATGAAACTGATGATGATTAAGGAGAAGAAGGGTACTGCAGAAGAATGCTTAAAGAAGAATTATTTCTAAAGAGAGATGTTTTCTTTGTGAATTTTTAAGCCAAAGAGTTAAAGCTTGAGTTAAGCGGTTACTAAGATGACCGTTACTGACCAGACAACCATGATCAGAGGAGTGAGAGTGGTTAACCTTGGGAAGATAAAAAAACACTATATCCATAGAAAAAAGCTATGTTTTACTCCAAATTTTTCGGTTCTCATGTGAGCCCTTCTTTGTTACCTAAAATTACATAATTGATCCGATTGAATCGTATGTTTGTTGTTAATACGTACGCAACAGAGTTACGACGTTTTGAGATGTTTATCGTACATCATGACACGAATCATACATTTGTTAGAGATTAAAGTGACATTTTTTAATGTTTGTTTGTTTGCTTGAATTTCGCGCAAAGCTACACGAGGACTATCTGAGCTAGCTGTCCCTAATTTAGCAGTGAAAGACTAGAGGGAAGGCAGCTATCATCACAACCCACCGCCCACTCTTAGGCTACTCTTTTACCAACGAATAGTGGGATTGACCATCACATTATAATGCCCCATGGCTGAAAGGGTAAGCATGTTTGGTGGATTGGGGATTCGAACCCGCGACCCGAGCACCCTAACTACCTGGCCATGCTGGGTCCAAAGAACCAAGTAAAAAATAATTTAAAAATCAAACAGCATTTCTATGTTTTCGGACAAAGGTAAAGGAATGGGTATAATTATTTCGAAGGGCATTTTACTGAGTTTTTCATTTATGCACACAATAAAAAAGCTTGGTAATAGTCGCTATTTCCGCGTCAAAAGTTAAACAATTATTTACTAGTTTCAGTTTCATAATGATATGTTGTCTTCTTCAAAATATGAAGTGTATATTACTTTTTATTAATTAAACAAAATGGGAACTTCCCACTGAAAACATTTGGTGTTGGTAAAAAAAATACAACCACGCAAGCCTCCCAAACATGGCTTAACATTTTTACAGCCATAGACAAACAAGTATCATAGGTACAAGTATTGGACAAGCTTTATAACCTTTGTTTTATTTAGCCTTGGAAAATGTGATATTAACCACGTGTAGCTTTGGAATATTTTACAACCATGGAAAAGAAGTAATCCATTGTAAATTCTTAATAATTATTGAAACATTAAAACGTGTGTCTTTTTGACTTGTATATCGAAATAATGGAACAATTTGTTTATCTATAAACTGTCAGTGAGTGTGTTTAGCTAGTTTTGTATGTTACACACAAAGAAAAAAACTGTTATCCCTGAAAATACCCAGGTATTTGTATTTGGTATTTTCAACATGAAAGGCATCTTAGGCATAAATGGACTATATGGCCAGAACATAAGAGACTTCTAGATGAAGTCTAGAAATGATAGGCCAGAGGAATGACAGTAAAAAGGAACAACTGTCACAACAAGGACTGAATATAGTTTTCAATCCAAATGACTGGATTGAGTGTCTTTTCGGTAATACACATATAGCTGAAAATATTTTGTTTGTTGGTGGCATTTGGGAACGAACCTTGGACCTTTTTCTTCCACAGCTCAACATGTTAACCACTAGACAATGTCCAGCCTCCATAGGCACCACTAAAAACAGCTCAGCTTAAGTCAGTTCTTTATATTGTATTGTTTATTGGTTAACTTCTGCTGAGACAAACATGCCTTATTATTTTAAGCCAAATAACATTTAATTTTGTAAAGGAAGATTAGCAATCTACATTTAACATGGACTTCATCAGTTCTTTCACTCTGCTGGAGTCTGTGAGAAATCTATGTGGTACAAACCTTCAGAGACACATACAGCAAATAAAGCCATCTGTGAGAAATCTATGTGGTACAAACCTTCAGAGACACATACAGCAAATAAAGCTATCTGTGAGAAATCTATGTGGTGCAAACCTTCAGACACACATACAGCAAATAAAGCCATCTGTGAGAAATCTATGTGGTACAAATTTTCAGAGACACATACAGCAAATAAAGCTGTCTGTTAGAGATCTATGTGGTACAAACCTTCAGAGACACATACAGCAAATAAAGCTATCTGTGAGAAATCTATGTGGTACAAACCTTCAGAGACACATACAGCAAATAAAGCCACCATAAACAGCATCCCGAATTCACATTTTGAAGATGTGAGCCCCCAGATAAGGGTCAAATTGTTTTGGTGGCTCTCAGGATTGGATCCATAGGTTTATATCAAAATTGGCATGAACATTTAAAGAATTTTTCAAAATAATTATCTCCACTCAAATTTCCAAATTTTCTTACCAAGTCTTCTTCCCGATGGGGAATCAAGAGTAAAACAAGGCGGGAACAGTTTCTGTTTAGTTGTTTGTGTGTAATTTGTTAGTTTATGCAAAAGGCAGAAATATATTTCATTGCATTATGATTGTGAAATTGTCAAAAAAAAAAAAAAGATCTACAAAGTACAGTTAATTATTCACCTGAAATTATCATATAAAACAATTTAAGAATACAAAACAAAAACTTGGGCTTACTTGACCATATTCTTTCTCTATATTTGCTCTTGACTTCATAAAATTCCTGTAAAAAAATTAGAATAATAGAAAACAGTTACATTTTTTCTAGCAAATTTCAACACAAGAAATAAAAGCTAATGTTTTCACCTGGTAGAATAACTCTGAACCTCTTAAATAATTAATCCTTTTTGAAGAACTACTTCACAATAGATTTTATATTCTAAAGTCCGTTATATTCTTTAAGAACTACTTCATAACAGACTTTAATGTTTTTCATTCTTTAAGGACTACTTCATAACATACTTTAGTGTTTTTCATTCCTTAAGGACTACTTCATAAGGGACTTTAGTGTTTCTCATTCTTTAAGAACTACTTCATAATTGACTTTAGTGTTTTTCATTCTCTAAGGACTACTTCATAATTGACTTTAGTGTTTTTCATTCTTTAAGAACTACTTAATAACTGTCTAGTGTTTTTCATTCTTTAAGGACTACTTCATAACAGACTTTAGTGTTTTTCATTCTTAAAGGACTACTTCATAACGGGCTTTAGTGTTTTTCATTCTTTAAGGAATACTTGGTCCAAGTCAGATTTGAGAATGCAGTCAGTGTAATCGTTATAAGTTAGAAACTACAAAGCTTTCAACCAGATATGTTTTGAAGCAGGGTCAGATTGAGCCAATAATTTATCGAAAAAAAAGTTATTTGTTTTTAAAGAGTAATTAAATCGGGTGTCCAGTTTCCAGATAAAGCCTGGTGCCCTTCCCAGTGGCATAGCGGCATGTCTGCGGACTTGCAACACTAGAAATCGGGTTTCGACACCCGTGGTGAACAGAACACAATATCTTTGTGCTTAAGTTCAAACAAACGAAGGCTGTTGAGGAATAAACGGATAATTACATAAGCCTTTTAAAGTTATTTTTGTGAGTATATAAGTTTATACTTTAATAAGAAGGGTAATAAATGTTGGATTGTAAATTAAAAATTTTGCACAATCATTTTTGTTTAATATGTGAACTACATGACAAGTAATAATGCATATCACAGGCTATGCAGCATTAATCGCAGTAGCCCACTCAGTTATTCAGGAATCCCTCACCCCTAACCCCATTGGAGAGCCGGTATAAAAGTAGCTTTCCTGGCCCTTATCAATCCCCCAATCTGCCCCTGACTTAAAGCAAATTTTATCCCATTTTTTGGTTGCTTTAAACTTAAGATTTTATCCAAGTGTTTTTATCACTTAACATTTTTTGATATACTCCTAAAAGTTTTTTAATCTTTAATTTTTTATCTTTACATAATGAACTGTGAGGTCTGATTGAAATACTTTTTTATTGTTTTCAATGTTGCTATACCTGAAGGACTGTTTGATAATGAACTTCAGAGTTTTCACTCATTAAGGACTAAATAATAACAGTCTTTAGTGTTTTTCCAGTTTTATGACCAAAACCCTAAAACCTGAAAGCAAAGCACATGTAGTGTCATCTCGGTAAACTGTCAATATTACATAAAACGCAGTTAAATAATCAAATTTCACCAAGCTAAATGGTATTTAATTGATCACATGCCTAAGTAGTTGATATGGGAAAGTTTCATAGGGCGGTGAGAAACACATCGTTCAAAGATAATTACGTTACTTACACCTAATAATAGTGTTTAAAAATGACAGTATAATTAAACTTTGTGTATAGTCAAATAAGCTGGGAATACAGTTACGCTGAGAAATATCGAAAATTAATAGTATGCTTTTAGGCTTAATCCTAAAAATAATGGTAAGAAAATCACACTAGAACTCCATATGTTTTTTATTATATATATATATATTTATTCTAATTAGTTCATTACGGATTCCAAATTACAGACTTGCAACAATTAGGCTTATGGTGTTTTAAAACCATAACGAGAATATCCTTTTGTTGTCATTACACGTAAGCGGAAACCTGACTTTGAAAATACGAAATAAAATTGAATTATATTTGTAGTAGCTATAAAAAATCTGGAAAACTTTAATTATTTCACTAAAAGACGAATATTTTATGGAATTTACTCTTATTTCCTGGACAATGTAACCCTCCCCCATCTCGATGGAAGCACCTCTTGCAAAAACTTAGACCTACGTTAGCGTTTTCAATAATGGAAACTCTTTCAGCTTTTCATTTGCTAAATGCCAAGCGATTGAACTCCACGAAGATTCGCCGATAAAAAATATGAATGACTTGATCTTATATTACGATTCCACTTACATTTTCGTTTTTTATGGTCTTTCATCAATCACAGAAAAAAAACGTGTATGTATCTTTAGCAATTAAACACATATTAGTACATTTTGGTTTATTGTAAATAAATAAATATAGATAGATAGATAACCTTGAGAGGTATGTATGTGTATCACATTTTTCATCGGTCACAAATACTTTATTTTACCAAAGTTTTATTTATTATAAAATTTTAAACTATTTAAGTACACATACAGTCATAAAGAAAGGTTACTCAAACTCCTTTCATTAGCAACAAAGTTAAGTTATTAACTTGTGATCATGCCAACTATATAAATGAAAACTAAAAAACAACATAGCAAACATTGTGGCTAATTCTGTATACAAGGATATTTAATATCCTAAAACAAATCATAATAACTGAAAAAAATGTGATGATTAGAAAACATTGTTCAGCGCTTAGAATGCTTAAATTCAAGGCTCGATCCTAGTAGTACACAGCGCAGATAACAGAGAGCACTCAATCATCAGTTGAGTACCTTCTCAGTTAACGATATTTAGTCAACTGATTTTAGCAAGCTTCAGCAGAAAGGGTAATTTCTCTTAAAGTTGATAAATTTTATAGTACTGGTACTGAAGGCAATGTAAGTCGTGCCGAGGAAAACTCTATGGATGTTTTTTTTATTATTTGTACAAGACTTAAGATGGAAGGTTTCTGCTCAATTTCTTTATCTAATTCTCTTGAACAAAACCACCATGTTATATGTCACCAATGGAAACCAAGATTTGGCAAAACGCCAGCCCCTTGCTAACTTACTTTCTTATTATACTCTCTGAGACTGGACAGCAGGGACACAAAAAGTGTCTCTCTACGTGTACATGTTATCATTTTTATAAACTTTATTAATAAAGTCTTCTCTAATATGCATAAAAACTACTTATAGTGCAACGAGAAGGTTAATGGGCAATGAAAAATAAATTATAAGTAACTTTTTGAAATTAAAAGTAAACGAAAATTCCAAATATAATCAGATAAATATTACCCGTAATGTTACAAACAGTGCTTTTTTTTCGAATGAAATATTATTTACTTATAGAAAAACAATATAATGCCATTTTGTGAAAGGAGTGGTCATTTTAGAAGTAATTTACGACACGACATAAAGAACTTCAGTTTCTATTAACAAAATCTATAAGTGAAAACCACAGTGCTTGTACAGTCCTAATAATGTGAAATCCTCACGCCCACAATTATTTTGCAAACCAAGCCACGCCCTCTCAAGTTCAATGATTAGTTTTAAGGTGATGTGACGTTTAAACGAACAAATGATAACCTGGAAATAAAGAGTATCGATGTCTGAGCGTATTTTCACAAAACTTTTGCGCGTTCTTCATTACAAGTTTTTAAAATGTTTTAATGACCTATCTATCTATCTTTACCTGTTTATTTACTTGTCTATCTATTCTATCTAGTTATCTCTGTCTTCCATATACATATATATATATATCCATTATCTATATCAAGCAAAATATCCACTGTCTTTCTCTCCAAAATTGTGCATTGTTTGTTTGTTTGCAAAGCTACTCGAGGGCTATCTATGCTAGCCATCCCTAATTTAGAAGTGATGGACTAGATGGAAAGCAGCTAGTCAACACCACTCACCGCCAACTCTTGTACCAACGAAAAGTGAGATTGACAGTCACATTATAACGCCCCCACGGTTGAAAGAGCGAGTATGTTCGGTGACGGGATTCGAACTCGCGATCTGTAAATTGTGACTTTAGTTCTCTAATCACTAAGCCATGCCAGGCCCAAAATCGTGTAAGTGGAGTACTTCTTGGGCAGAAAAAGACTAGTAGGAAAGACATTTGGGACAAGGAGTGTAGAGCAGTGCTAACATTTCACGACACACGCAAAGAGTAAAAAGTCTGTTCGTTTCAAATATTCGTGCAAAGTATTTGCACAACATGGGAGGGAGGCACGAAAAACGATGGATTGTTACTTTTTTGAGCGGTATATAATAAAATAAAGCTTACGGAATGTTCTTTCAAAAAAAAAGGAACAATGGTGTATTAACAATCGTGATGTTTTATGTATAGAACAATGGTGTATTAATATTTGTGATGTTTTGTATAGAACAACGGTGTATTAACAATCGTGATGTTTTGTGTATAGAACAATGGTGTATTAACAATCGTGATGTTTTGTATAGAACAATGATGTATTAACAATCGTGATGTTTTGTGTATAGAACAATGGTGTATTAACAATCGTCACGTTTTGTGTATAGAACAATGGTGTATTAACAATCATGGTGTTTTGTATACAACAGTGATGTATTAACAATCGTGATGTTTTGTGTATAGAACAATGGTGTATTAACAATCGTGATGTTTTGTGTATAGAACAATGGTGTATTAACAATCGTGATGTTTTGTATACAACAATGGTGTATTAACAATCGTGATGTTTTGTATAGAACAATGATGTATTAACAATCGTGATGTTTTGTGTATAGAACAATGGTGTATTAATAATCGTGATGTTTTGTATAGAACAACGGTGTATTAACAATCGTCACGTTTTGTGTATAGAACAATGGTGTATTAACAATCGTGATATTTTGTATACAGCAATGAGGTATTAACAATCGTCACGTTTTGTGTATAGAACAATGGTGTATTAACAATCGTCATGTTTTGTGTATAGAACAATGGTGTATTAACAATCGTGATGTTTTGTATAGAGCAATGATGTATTAACAATCGTGATGTTTTGTGCATACAACAATGGTGTATTAACAATCGTGACGTTTTGTGTATAGAACAATGGTGTATTAACAATTGTG